TATATATATATATATATATATATAGAATATTCGTGATTTGATTAATTGGGAGATATTTTCAGCAATTGTGGAAATTATTTGAGCAATACTACAAATTGCTAGACATATAATGCAACAATAATGCAATTTTCTTTAAGTTTATTAACCCAACAATAAGATTCAAACTTTAGAAATCCCAACGTTCATTGTATGTAAATTAAGATTCGATCGAGTGCCCACATTGAGATTTGAACCGTCAGATTACACGTGTGCACACACATTTATGTATGTAGGTGTGTTGATCCAACGGTTCAGATCTCTTGAGGCGGTTGATTGAAATTCACCGTAAATTTACTCTGATGACATTGCCTTTACGGTACGTTTGGCATCCAAAAATGTTTTGGGCAATGAAAGCTGGACAAAAGAACAAAAGAACGCTTTTTGACTTTTTGAGCAAATGAAAACGAAGAGTGTCTGCCTCAGTACTTCATTTCAGACAGCAACCATAAAAGCTATTATTATTAGCTATAACATGAGATGAGTTACATTTGAGTTTATTATCATATTTATAATAAAATAAGATAAATAATATAAAAAGCACGATAGTGAAGCTCGAATTGTCACACTTCTTTCGAGTTCCATTATATGGATTTTGACCCTCTAATCATTTTTTTTTTTTTCTTTTTTCGAATAGTCCCCTTGATGTTATGTTACATGTAGCTTCAAGTTTTATTTCAAGAACACATAAATAAATATAAGTAAAAACATTAGCATAAAAATTCAATGTAGATTGTAAATTTGTAATTAACATAATAACAGTATTATGTTTTGAGCAAAGAAAACAAGAAAGAGCATGTTGAATGCAAGAGGTCATTCAACTTTATATGAAAAGTGGATAATTACAAAAATTACTTTGAAGCTCTAATATTATATAAAAAATGTATTAAGACAAAGCAAAATAAAAACTGACATTATATAATGGAATATATTAAGACAAACCAAAATAAAATAAGAATCAGTTACATGTGGATGCACAGATTATCTATACGTTTGTTATTATTTTGTTTTGTATTAGTACATCTTCTTATATAATATCACAACTCCACAATAATTTTTTAAAGTTAATTAATTTTGACTTTATGTTATAAAATGTTATACTTTTATTTACACCGTATTCAAAGTATTTATATCGTATTCAATTTATTCAAAGTATTTATATCGTATTCAAAGTATTGACATCTAAGTATGAAAGTAAATTTATTAATATAACCATCTAACCATATCTAAACCATTAGACTAAACCATTCCATTGCTTGGCATTTTTTCTAAAAAATAATTAGCAATATAGTCAATAAGTCATCGCCTAATATTCTGGAAAACTTGTGGAAATAAATTCATTCATCAAAACTAATGGTTCCTAATAGGGTTTTTGATCAAGCAATAAATCTTGAAAGCCAAACATTTGGCAACTCTTTTTACCAACAATTTCCTCCCATAATTTCTTCCATTCTTAAGCCCCAACCCCCTATATAAATAGGTGCAAGAATTTGTATGATTCAAATTTCACTAGACACAAATTACATTTCTTTCCCCATTTTCATCAAATAAATATCTGTGTTTTCAACTTATACAACACAATGAGAAAGCAAATTAGCTATATTAACAACTGGATTGAAGTTGCACCTTCGCCGTTTATATCGCTACACAAGGCTTCGAATGCGCCAAAACTCGAGACAATATTTGAAGAAAGTTCGGAAAAAGTCGATATTGCCAGCACAAAGGCCTTTTACATACTCCCAATCGTCCTTTCGATTATTTCGTATCTGTTGATGAACAGATTATCTATAGTTTGATATCAAATGCACAAAAAGGTGAATTTTTTCTTTCGAAAATACAAATAGAGACATGAAGGGAGTGTATTATTTGTGATTTTCAAAGATGGGTTGTTTAGTAATTAGGCTAAAAAGCCTGTAGGGTGGTTTTTCTTAATTTAATCCAATCTTTTCCCCTCGAAAACTTTCCATTTCTATCACAATGTGCACAAAGCTCTACAAAAATATGCATGAAAAGATGAGATATTGCAGTACTAGACTGAGAATTTTGAAAAGGATTATTATCAAAGGGATCTACTAACATTTGCCAAATGAACGGAAACACAAGTCGAGGGGTGGCCGAAGGTGAAGATAGCAAAAGAAAGAGTAAATCACGTAAAGTTCTCTTAAGGGTTCAGGGTTTTGTTACTATGAGGCAGGTAATCGTGTATTATCGGGAATTATGCTCGGTAAAGTCATTGTTACAAGAAATTATTTGAGCTTTTATATTTCGACTAGTTTCTAAATATTGATTATATGCTTTCTTTTGTTCTTTCTTTTTCTTCTTCCCTTTTTTTATTTTTGGATGCTTTGAGGTTTTATGAGATAATAAATATTTTGGTATAAGATTTTCTATAGTCAGATTCAGTAAAGAGCATGAAATTATGATCAGCAAGCTCAAATCTCACCAGTTAAATCTCCAAATGTGCATATAGCAGTTGTTTCTCAAATAAAAGTTTACTCAAAACTTGATATAATCTCAAACGTATCAAGACATGCTTGTAAGAAAAAAAAAGATTAATATTAGAAGGCAATTATATTACCTTCAACCAGACAAAGACACGGGTTTTTCTAATTCCATGATAAGTTAGTTGTATCTCCATATGGCCTGGAAAGGAATACCGAAAAAAATTATCAGACTAAAGCAAACAGATCCAAGGCAGGTGGGGGAAAAAAAAAACACAAGCTGACATGATTTTTAGTTTTTCACTAGGAAGATTTTGATCGTTTAATACAATTTCCAATAAATAATTCAAACATATACCCGTAAAAGAAAATATCAGTGACGAGAGAAAGACATAAAAAAAAGAATTAGCTTCATTAAACCATTAAAATGCAAAAAGGAAAAAGAAGAAGAAAAAATAAATCTTTTCTGAAATATTTTGACATTTTTACCTCGGATTTTTAACATGCAGCAACATGAAGAGCAAGGCAATAAGTAGAAAGAAAGTGCCGATAGAAATGTAGGCTATCCCCAGGAAATTATTATGTCCTCCCAACCAAGTCGATGTAGAGAGCACGAGCATTTTGGCCCCACTAAAACTGTAGGTGTTGTAGTTGTTCAAAAGCTCGACTGAAATAATATCATTCGCATCTAAATCCTCTTCAATTCTTCCATACAGTTTACGGAATGTTGGGAGAGCGGAAGTACGCATCCACACGATAAGATCCTCTTGATCACTCAGCTAGTTGATTCAATTTATNAAGAAAAATATTTATTAGAAACAGTTCGGGAGAACTATTTGAATATTAATAAATGCGAAAAAATATTCATTAGAAACAGTTCGGGAGAACTATATGAATAAATTACAATTTAAGCCTTAAAGGTCTTGTATATTGGCATTTTGTATTTCTTAATTGCACTAGCTCCCTAAGAACATGAATAATATTCATTATGAACAGTTCTCTGCTTTGATAAATTATAATTTAGTCCTCAAATAAAATAAGTACAAAGTAGATGCGTGTGTGTGTGTGTGTGTGTGTTGATAGTGTGTGTGTGAGAGAGAGAGAAAGAGAGGAAGCATTTCAGCACAGCTGCCGTCAACTCTTTGTATCGTTCTATTTCGCAATCAAGAAAGTGAAAACTTCGAAAAAAGTAAGAAATATATAACTTACAGGAATGGTCGGGTCAAGAGTTGCACCACCAATTAGAGTCCCATTCTGAAAATTGAAGGGATAAACTTCCTTCCCAAACTTATGCTCACGATCACTTTTCCATGCAATGCCCTTCCGGTTGACTTTCAGCTCATTTGACCAGCGGGAAAAAGAGTATGTGTCGTTAAATAAGCTCCAAGCAATGAGACCACAGGGCACAATAGGAAGACCGTGATTAATATCTTCAGGTGCACATGAACTCGTATCGTGATGTTTTAGACCATGCATGAGTTGCTGATCGTCACGACTTTTGACGTACCTTGATTGAACAAAACAAAATTGAATCAATATATATATACACACTCGCATTAAAAAAATAAAAAGGAAACGAAAAAACATATGCAGATAATATGGCACGATTAGGAGGCAATATCAAGGTAAAATTACAACTGAACAAGAAAACTCTGAGAAAAAAAAAAAAAGAATTTACCGTCTATGGTTCTGGTAGTAATTATCAAGCTGGTAATACACGTATATAGGAGCTTTCATCGGCTTGGGGATCTATATACAAGATTTCAAGAGCAGGTTAAATATGAGAGCTTCATTTTCCTTGTATATCAGAAGGGGGAAAAAGAACTATAAAAAACGGGTTAAATATATGAATAGTAAGCAAGAAACATCTAAATATGTGATAACGATTCCAAATGCAGCACACGATATTTGGATATGCAAGTAAGGGGAAAATATAAATTGCTCTGACTTGAATTCCGAATTCGAATTCAATTTTCCCGTAAGAGGATGAACACGAGTCATATCAATCATATCAAATTGGTGCAAATAAATGCCATATCTCATTTATATTCAAGAAACAAAACTATTGCCAAGTGAAAAATAACACCTTGATGGATTTCGAGCAATTCTTTGGTATCAGATCATTTTTTATGTATGCCACTTTGTTGCCTTTGAACTGTTCTGGCACGCAATCAACGTCATATCTGTACACAATTTCAACAACCTGCATACAGATTACAGAATGCCAATTGATACTCAATAAAAAAATTTACTCATGACTTGAATAATATGAAGCACACTTCAATGCAAAAAAGAAAGAAAGTAAAAACTAATGATTTTTACGCTTTCTGAAGCATGAAGTGAGACCATCCCCACCGGAATAAAGATCGAGCCCACCACAAAAAATATGGATATGACCTGTCAGAAAACACAGCTCCACCAATGAAAAATTGATAAGCCATTAAACTAGTCGATAGATAACTCGATTGATTAATGTATCAAACTACAGTGGCAGTAATTTGCTCACCCACGCAGGCGAGAGGACGGGTTTACAAGCCGGCAGATTTTGCTGAGTAAACTGGTGCAAGACTGTGAAATAGCAAAGAACAACCCCAAGTAAGCAAAACCCATTATCATTTACTTCTAAAGGGTATTCCAGAAAACCCTCCAACAAAATCCCATTGTCAAGATTTCAACTTGGAGAGCAATTCGAGGACTGTGTTGAAATCTACATCAGATACAGGAAGAACAGCTACTGAACGCAATTTGGGGGAAAGGGTTCAATATTTGAGAAGGAAAAAAGAAGAAGGGAAAAAACTTACACTTGGAGCGGCCATGTTCAAGAGACACTGAATTAGTTTCAGTGTCAGCTGGCGATGAACCCCTCGCATCCATTTCCATTGAATTTAAAGCTCAACAACTATTTTCTATACGCAGCTTCTCAGATTCAATTTCGAAAAAACCATGAAACTTTTGAACTTTCACCACTACCAAGATTGGAAAGCTCCAACCTTTAGAGAACCCACAAGCAACTAACACCAAAACGATCGAGAAATCAAGAAACGGAAAGGGGGTGAGGGAGAGTAGGAACACGCGCGCACAAAAACACAAACAGACACAAAGGTCGAATTCGTGAGAATATCACAGTATGGCTGTGGAGCTAGCAGGTGATAGAGGAAGATTTAACAATGAACAAATTATGCGGAGAGAATTTGAGAAATTCGATCTTGAATTTTCTTCATGAACCAATGTTGTTCAAAAGCGAGTTTGTTGAGCAGAGAAAGAGTGATAATATGGTTCTTTTTAATGGTTGGTCATTAATTAATCACACACCTTAAAAGGCTATTTTACCAAAATAAACAATTCCAACATTTTTATTCGGCAAACCTAACATTCATATTTTTAAATTCAAATATGGTATAAATAATAATATTAAAAAATATGATAATTTTAAATACAAATAACTAATTTTGTTAAAATAGTATAACAAATCCTACGCTTAAACCACCTAGACAAGAAATTGTGTTTAGGAAATCATGAATTTGTGTGGAATTTTACTAAAAAATTACTTTAAGTTGCGAAAATAATAAATGTGCATAGTACCAAGTTGCAATTTCATTTTATTTGTTTCGTTCTATAAAATATTTAATTTTTGTAGGGTTGTAACCGTCGTCGTATATCATTGAACCAGAGTAATTACACAAACAACCCTACAAAAAAATCTTTTATAGAATGAAACAAATAAAATGAATTTGGATGGCTCCTTTAACTCGTCGTCGGGAATGACTAGCGCATGTGGAGTATTACGCGATCAGTTTGGCCGGCGGTTACAGGGTTTTACCATGAATATCAGTTTTTGCTCCATTACAGGGGCGAGATTATGGGAGCTTTTCCAAGGGCTCCAACTAGCATGGAGCTCGGGTAATTACGGAAGTTGATATAGCTTATGTGCTTTCTCGATGATTCAAAGTGTCAATGTTGAGCATGGGATACATAGTGCTTTTATCTTGGCCATTAAGGATTTGTTGAAGAGGCAATGGTCGGTGAGGGTATGCCATGGATTTCGAGAGTCCAACTTTGTTGCGGATTGCATGGAGAGAATGGCTACAAAGAGCCCGGGTGGATTCCAATCTCTCGATGTGCTGCCGAATGAGGATCGAGAATAGTTACACCACGATATTGTTGGGGTCTCGTACCCTCGACATGTACCGATTTCCAGTACTTATTGTACCAAAAAAAAAGAAAAAAGAGAAAATTGTAATTATTATATCATTACAAATATTGATAACGAATTTCATCATATTAAGTTATTCTTAACAATTGGATTTGACATAAGCTATTCTTGTCAATTGTCATTTTTTTTTTCATTTATTTAAAAACCT